TGGGGCACCTGGGTACCTCAGTTGCTTAATCGTCTGACTTCAGCTTAGGTCATGATCCCGGGGTCCTGGGATCAAACCCTATGTGGGGTTCCAGTATGAGCTTGAGATTCTCCCTCTCTCTCAGCCTCTGCCCCTACCCGGTCCCCAAATGGTGTGTGTGTGTGTGTGTGTGTGTGCATGCACATGCTCTCAAAAAAATAATAATAAATTTTTTTATTTCCTTGAAGAAACAAAGAAACACAGACTATCTTTTGGGGGAATCTAATTCCTAACACAAACCAAAAAACTGCCCACATTTTGCTTAAAATAAAAGTATAAAATGTCATGGAAACATAAGAAGCCATAGAAAGACTGCAAATATAGCTCAGTGACGACAGAATAAATTTTTTTTAAGTCTAAACTTTTATTTAGGCTTCAAATAATTTTATCAAGGTATTTTTAAATTTTCCACACCTCTCCTCAACAGCATGGTTACAATGTGATTCAGTGAGGCACTACAGGGAGTGTCTCACTAGTTACAAAACCTGTCTCTGTTACAAAACCTGGTCTTCTCCTTTCCCGTTGATGGCTGCCAGTAGGGAAAGGGGGCCTTAGAAACATGTTAAACCTTCTACTCTGGAATAAGAGCTCAATGGACTTCAGTCTGCACAGGTCTCCTGTAGTAATCATTCTAATACTACCCTGCACTTACTGGATTCACTTTATTGTTAGCTTCTGTTTTAATCAGGTGTCATATCCCCTTTTCCTGCACAGTAGAAACCATGTCTGCTCATGGTAAAAGTTCAAATACTGGCTGACAAAGCAAAAGCTAATTTATCATTTCAAATGTAGTAACAGAAAGCAGATGATAAGAGAGAAATTTAGGATATAGGCCCTAGCATGGAAGGATTTACAAAACGGATTTTTAAATCTTACTGTTTCAAGAACCATTTATGGTGTGCCTGACCTGACACAGATGCATTTCCTTAGAAACATACTGAAAATTATTTTTGGTGACTCACAATTCCCTTAATTTCAAAAACCCTCAAATTCAACTGGGATTGGCCTTTCAATCTATAACAACTGTTAATTAACTTCTAGCTATTAGATTTGGGAGACAGAGAAGCAAATTCAGATGTTCAGATGCCCCTAGAAAATGTGCAGAAGTAGTTAATAGCGAGGTATCAGTCAGTGTTCCTGAAAACAGGGACAACTTCAATTTATTAAAGGAATTATAGCAGCAACATGTAAACTAACGCAATTACCTTTTTCGAGAGTCTTTTTCTTAGTACCTTTGATTTTTTTTTCAAGATTTTATTTATTTATTTATTTATTTATTTATTTGACAGAGAGACACAAGAGGGAGGAACAAGAGAGGGAACACAAGCAGAAGAGTGGGAGAAGGAGAAGCAGGCTTTCCACTGAGCAGGGAACCCAATGCAGGGCTCAATCCCAGAACCCCGGGGCTTGATCCCAGGACCCCGGGATCATGACCTGAACCAAAGGCAGATGCTTAACGACTGAGCCCCCCAGGTGCCCCCTCTCTTAGGACCTTCCAACTCAGAGGCCATTTCTCAGACATGAAATCTTAGGTTGCTGGCAGTGACAACCGTTTTCAATGGAATTTTTAAGAAAGTATGTCTCTTTCCAAAACCATTTAGCTAGCCACAAAATTGTTCTATGTGAAGCTTACTAACTGCTAATGAATTTATGAAACTCAAACTAATCCACAGTGATTAAAGCTCCTGACTGGGGGGAAGTCCACTTTCTCATTCAGCCCCTTCCTCCACCCTAGAATGCAAACTCATCTCAAATCAATGTTCCAAACTATACACTAATTAAATGCCTGACTTTAACTCTAGAAGTTGAGTTAGAATAACAAAACAGCTGACAGTAATTTAAGATTGGCTTATGTCAAAAGCATTATATTTCTACCTTGGATTAATTCAATAATGTGAGCTTTCAAATAAGTTTTGTTTTGGTTTGTTGTTGTTTTCAAATCCTTGGCTTAAAACCACAGACTTCTACAGGACCCAATGCTAGCTGGTTGCAGTTCTTACTAGTTTCTTAAAAACTGAAATCACTTGGTCACATAAACCAATGAGAAGTCAAAAGCTTCAAAACAGGGCCACCTGGCTGGCTCAGTGGGTTAAGCCTCTGCCTTCTGCTCAGGTCATGGTCCCAGAGTCCTGGGATCAAGCCCCACGTCAGACTCTCTGCTCTGCAGGGAGCCTGCTTCCCTTCCTCTTTCTCTGCCTGCCTCTCTGCCTACTTGTGATCTCTCTCTGTCAAATAAATAAAAATCTTTATTAAAAAAAAAAAAGCTTCAAAAGGAAAAATCTACAGACGCATTACATTTCAGTTCATAATTTACTCCTCCATCCCCCAAAAAGCCATCATCCAGGTTATTTATAGGACACTGTTACTATTACTATGTAATACAGAAAAACCTTAATACCACTGACACTGTAGCATGTATCCACATGCAGACAAAAGCTTTACAGTGTAAAAGATTTAATAAACTCTAGCAGTGGGCTCTACATTCAACTTTTGACTTAAAAAGTGTCAATTTAGGGGCACCTGGGTGGCTCAGTGGGTTAAAGCCTCTGCTTTCAACTCAGGTCATGATCCCAGGGTCCTGGGATCGAGCCCCACATCAGGCTCTCTGCTCAGCGGGGAGCTTGCTTCCTGCTGCTCTGCCTACTTGTGATCTGTCAAATAAATAAATAAAATCATTTTTTTTAAAGTGTCAATTTAGTGCAACATTGTTTAAATTCACTTTCAAGATGATTTTAACTGAGGGACACCTGGCTGGCTCAGTTGGGAAAGCATGTGGCCCTTGATCACCTGGTTGTGAGTTTGAACCCCACACTGGGTGTAGAGATTACTTAAGTAAATGAATGCACAATTTTTTTTTTTTTTTAAGAAAAAAAAAAAGGGACACCTGAGTGGCTCAATTTGTCAAGCATCTGCCTTCAGCTCAGATCATGATCCCAGGGTCCAGCCATGGAGTCCCACATCAGGCTCCTTGCTCAGCAGGAAGCCAGCTTCTCCCTAAGCCTGTCATTCCTCTTGCTTGTGTTTGCTCAGGCTCTGACAAATAAAAATCTTTAAAAATAAATAAATAAATACAAAGGAAAAAAGATGGCACATCTGGGTGGCTCAGTCAGTTAAGCATCCAACTCCTTACTTCAGCTCAGGTCATGATCTCAGGTTCCTCAGACTGAGCCCCTACTTAGGATCCGAGCTGGGCATGTAGCCTGCTTAAAATTTTCTCTCTCAGGCACCTGTGTGGCTCAATCGGCTAAAGTGTCTGCTCTTCAGCTCAGGTCATGATCTTAGAGTACTGGGATCAAGTCCTACATCAGCATCTCCGACCAATGGGGAGTCTGTTTCTCCCTCTCACTCTCCCTTTGTGTTCTCTAATAAATAAATAAAATCTTAAAAAAAAAAAAAAAAAGATTCTCTCTCCCTCTGCCCCCCCTTAAAAAAAAAAGATGATTTCAAATGAGTCGAGAAGCATGTGCTTCTATATTTTAGTATACATTTTAGAAAGATAACTTCATGAGCTCTAACCTATAGAACTGCAACAACAAATAAATGGTGCAGGAAATCAGAACATACTTTACACTGAGACTTTAAATCCAAAGTACGAATTATGGTTCTTAAGTTCTGGAAAGCTCTGGAAACAAGTAAGATGATAAATTTCCTTGTAAGCAGCTTAAGATTCCTCCAAGTGTTGAAACAAAAGACATCTTTGAGTACAATCTTATGCTAGTTCAATACGAATAAACAGACTTACTAATGCTTGGAATGAAATCATCTCAGTCACTCCACCTAAATACAATAATGCATTTACAAAGCTGTTCTGAAGCTACTCCGAACGAAACCGCACTGAAAAAGAAGCCGTGTAACATGCAGCGTTGTCCAATCACTGTTGTATACCTAAAACTAAAGTAACACTGTGTTAACTATACTTCAATTTAAAGAAAATGGGGGACCCTGTATGAAGTAGACATGTTATGTGAAATGTTCCATATCGGCCCCCCAATTTAAAAAAAAAAGGAAGAAGAAAGTTATAGCTCATTATTAATATGTATTCTGCAAGAACAGTATCAAGGGATGTCAACACCGACAAATGATACAAATATCGCAGACTTCAGAAAGCCTTTTTTTTTTTCTTTTCACAATCTTGCGTATTAAGTGAGGTTGTTATAAAGTTAGATGAGTTAAGATACAGGCAAAGAGCTTAGCACAATTGCTGGGCTCATAGTGAACCTTCAATATCATTAACAAGTATCTATCAGCTATCTACGAAAACAGTTTCAAACACTATCTACAATTAACCACAAATTCCTTTCTTGGCTCGACTACTATGGACTGTGAAAATAGCAACTTAATGAATAAAACACACTCTTTAAACTTCCCATCCCGAAAACCAAAAAGGTACAATAAACTGTTTTCAGAAACTATACTGGGGTGGCATAAACACAAGTTCACATGATTAAGAGTCTGGTAAACACTGGTTAGCATTCTCATTAGGACCAAAGTCAGCTAACTCGGGGACAGTTAAAGGTCAAAAGCGTCCCAGCCCGGAACGATTTGCTCCATTTACACGGTCCCTGCCTCCCAAAGACCAGGGGACTAAACCAAAGGCAGGCGCGGCCGAAGTGCAGGCGAGGACAATCCTCGATAGACATCGCCCTGGGGGATTTCCTCCAATAGTAAAGCCGCTTCCACCTCCGCTCAAGCCACCCACCCTCGAAACTCAAGAGTTCTAGCCCCCGACCCTCCCCAACCGCGGGAGCGCCGCCCCCCGCCCAAGACCTCCGCCCCGCGCGCCCGCAGAGAAGGGGCGAGTCCGCGCGCGCACGCGCGCGCGCTCTCCCCGCAGGTCCGCCTCTCCGCCCTCCGCCCCCCAGCCTCCACCCCGCACCCCCTGGCGCCTGGGCCCAGGAAGATGCGGCCCGGGCGCCCGCTCGCCCACCCCAGCCCCCGCGCGCGCGGCCTGGGCAGGATACTGAACACAGTCCGCTCCCAGGGCTCCAGCATGTAGAGCGCCGTGACCAGCAGATACTGGTAGTAGAACCAGGACATTTGTTTCCAGGCCCGCGCCAGCGCCATGCCCTCCGCACGCCTCCCTCGTTGAGGCCGAGCGTCAGTCTGGCCCGCCAGCCTCCGGTGAGCGTCCTCCAGTCCCCGGCCGAGAGGCCCGCCCGCCAGCCCGCCACGGTGCACCTATTGGCCGATCCGGCCCGGCGCGTCACCCGTGGGCACGCCCAACCCCGCGCGCCCCCAGGCAGCCGGCTGCGAGCCCCGCCCGGCCGGCGCTCATTGGCCCATGTGAGGCCACGCGTCGTGCCCGCCCCTTCCCCGGTTTCCCCCTCTGCGGGCCGCGCCCACGGGAGCCGGAGAACCTTCTGCGCGAGAGCGCCCGCCGCGCCCTACCGGCCGCGCCCTAGCCGCCCCGCCTCGCCAGGCCATTGGTGGGCGGGGAGTTAGTCCCGGCGGGGTCGCTGCGCCGGAGCCAGCGGAGGCCGCCCGGGGGTGGTCGGTTCCTGCAGCGCGACCCAGAAACGCTCGCTGAAGACATATTTGTGGAATATCTGGCATCCTACTGGGCAGGGGGATTACAGGGGAGAACAGGAACATAGAAGGTTCCTTAACTAGCGCAGGGTACGATCTAGCGGGGGCGACGGGCACTAACCACACGAATGCAAGTCCAACCTATGATGGGTGCAGAGAGAATAAGGTGCTCTTGAGGGTGGCGAGGCGGAAGTCACCTAGTCAGAGAGGTCAGGGAAGGCGTCTCCGAAGAAGTGATGCACACATTGCCTGCTTCCTCCCTACCCCGGCGCGCACACACACAGACACACAAATACCCACACCGACCAGCATACCCACCCAATGCACTCCTTAACCTAAAGACAAAGTACCTTAACTATATCCACCATAGGTACCCTGTAGGTCAAGGCCAGGAAAACGACGCTGATCTGGGGGTTCTGCAGGTGACATACTGCTTGAGATCCGTCTGTAGGCATGGAGAAGCCCTTGTAAATATCCAGATCTTTCCACTGGCAGATGGGCCGGCACTATTGCTCTCATCTTCAGGAACAAGATAAACAGCGTGTGAAATGACAATTAAATGGCCTGCTGTTTAAAAGCGAAGAAGTTTCTTTCAAATATCCTACCGCTTAAACTTTAAAACTTTCATGGTTGATCATTTTTATTTATTCATTTAGAAATATCAGCGGCTGTTTATGAACGAAATATTGGGGATAGACAACTAGACGGAGATCTGCCTTCATAAAGGACCCAGTCTACTAAGGATGAGAAGCAAGTTAACTGATGACAGTGAGATGTAGGGAAGGGTAGTTTTGTTATGTGTAGGCTGCCATGAGGGCCCAGCGAAAATCAGATTGGGAGTGTAAACGTCTTCTGGGAAATAGTACTTGAGCTTAGTATTAAAAGAAAAGTAGAAATGGCAGAATGAATGAGTTTAGAGAGGAGAGGGTAAGACAGATATTCCAAGCACAGGCACATGGAACCATTACAGAAAGGTGGGAGGCTTTTAAAGGCTGGAAGAACTTTCATGTGGCTGATGCAGAAAGAATGCATAATCAGTAGCAGGAGATGGAGCTAGTTAATGAACAGGGACCACATCCTGAAGCACCTTGGGTAAGAAGCCAAGGAATTTTTACCTGGATATACTTAATAAGTATATGCTTAATAAGATTAAACAGGCCTTGGGAGTGGACAGCTGCCTAGAAGACACTAAAAAAAAAAAAAAAAAAAAAAAGAGGATCAGGTCGGAGACATTACAGAGGGAGAACCTATAAATGGAAGCAACTATAACCCATATGCCCTCCGGGTCTCCTTACCCTTAAGAGATCTAAGTACCTTTGGCCTTCCCATTTCTGAATCTTAACTGTGTTGGGCTTCTCTCTGTCCTCATTCTTCTCCAAAGTATTTCTTTTCAGATCTGTTTGGGTATATGCAAGCTTTGTTCCTTTTTCTTCAAGAACTCCAAATACCTCAGCACTTAGTGATGCTCAGTTAAGTTTACCCAGGACTGGAAGATCACCATAGCTAGCTACTCTTCCCTCACTGGGCAAGCTCCCTCACTGCCATTCCCACCACATGGTTCTCCCCAACTTTTGTAGCCCCTCAATCCACGGCATCTCTTTGGGAGTACAGCCCTACCAAGCCAATCTGTAACCCTCACCTTCCCTGGGAATCTAGGGAACAAAAATTCCTTCATCAGACTATTATTGACAACTGACTAGAAATGGGGAAAAGAGACTAGGATCCCAGATGATGACAATATTCAGAAAGCATCCAGGGGAAAAAGCTTGGCTGAAAAGACATGAATTCTGTTACAATGAGGCTGAGGCTGAAGTACCTGGGGGACATTTAGTGGGCAGTTGGGCATATGGGCCTAGAACTCGGAAGAGAAGCCTGAACAGGACCTAGAAGAATGTGAGTTTTCAATAAGACCCTATTAATTGCAGCTGTGATTGCAGATAAGGTCACCCAGGGAAAGCACACAGCACAGGAAAAACAGTAAACACAATAAACCCAGCCACTCAGGCATTTACGGGAGAAGAGTCCAAAGGGAGCCAATAAATTGCACTCAAGAGAAGCTGAGATCTGATAGCAACGACCAGGGACCTATGGGAGAAGCCAAGAAAAGAAGGGACAGCCAGGAGATCAAGTGGCTCAGAGAGGACAAGCAAAAGGAGGAAGGGAAGGACCAATTTGTTTTGTCCACTTGGGGCTCAACTGATAACTCATTCATTATGGAATGATAGGGGCAAAATCTGGATTAGAGAGGGAGCAGGGAAGTCAGGAGACAAGGGAGCAAATCAGATTTATCTTTGCCGGAAGCTTGCCTGGGAAGAGAAAAAGATAGGATGGTACCAAGGGTATTTGTTTTGTTTGATTTTCAGATGGGAGAGGTGTGAGCAAGTTTATGGGCTTAAAGATACAGGTGAAGATGGTGGGCTGGGGGATCAGATCTACAGCCTTAAGAAACTGGAGCCAGTAGCTCTTTTTCTAAAAGGGCAAGGAGGGAAAGCTGGGAGTCAGAGGGACATAAACACAAGTTAAGGAAATCCCTACTTTACAGCCTCGGTTTTCTTAGAGAAAAAGAAAGGGGTTTTCTAAAGTAAGGCCCTCTGTTGAAAATGAGCAAGATGTTGAGGTGAGGGGTTTGAAAAAGGAAAAGGGGAGTGGGAGACTCTCTCTAAAGCTTCTTAGGGATTGGCAAGCAAAAAAAATCATGTAATTTTCACCTGCGATCCACAAGGACCCCTGTATGGAACTGGAGAGGATGAATTAGGAGACTTGCTCCAAGGTGGAGGTCCTGCTGGCTGAGCCCAAGAGAGAAAGAAGCAAGAAGGTTAGTGGGGAGCGCACAATCCTAATACCGGCTGCGAGAACTGGGTTAGAGTTCCTCTTAGCTTCAATAGAGTTGTACCTAATCTGTAAAGCTACCCTGTCCACCTAGACTTTGAATGTCACTCTTTGTCACAGCACCACAAGAGTCTCCTCTCTCCCCACACCCCCAGCTTCCCTGCGCCCTCCATACATTTCTCAGGCAATCATTCTTCCCCTATTTTTCCTCCAAATCCTTTTTGGAATAATAGTATAAAAAAATTTATCAGCTGTCTTCCCTTTACGGTTAAGTTGTGGTGAGTCCCTGGGCCATCACTTCCTGTCTTCCAGTAGTCTCACCCACCCCTCCAAAATATAGAGTCTGGGCTCTACCTCCACCCTCCACTAAGACCAATTACTCAAGTTTACCAGATCCAACCCAAATTAATCATACCTCTTCTTACTCAGCCTCTCTCTCTGTATAGCATTTGATGCTGAACATTTCCAGCTTCTAAACCTCCTCCACACTCTTGGTTTCTACCACCCAGCCTTATCCAACCTTCTCTGGGGAGTTTGATAAACCTTATTTTCTCTCCCATCCCTAAAGGGCTGCTGACCCCTTCTTCCTCAGTTGTCTCATCCTCCTTAGATCCCAAATGCCACTTCAAGTCTTTATTCTAACTGCTGGCAAAACATATCTAGATATAGTTAAAATAATAATAAAGGTTATCATTAACATAATTGTCTAGTCCTTCCCTTTTCAAATTTCAAAGTGCTTTCACATCATCTCATTGCCTCAGAAAGAGCAAACACAGCCCCTATTTTATAATTACGGACGCTGGAGTTCAGAGACCTGTTCAAGTCCAAACTAATCTGTACCTCCTTTCTTATCTCACTTTCTTATCTCTGCCAACAGCAAAAAGTATCTTAATCTCCAGGGCAGAAACCTTGCACTAGTTTTAATTCCCTTCTCCCAGTATCTCAGGTGCGCCTTCTTTAGTCGAATCTGCCATTTTGAAGATCCACACACAACTTCACTCTATCAAGATAACAAGCCTAAGGACCGTCATCCCAACTTGGCTGACCAGCTACCACCATTTGCTTCCTGCTTGCTAACCACTAACTTGAGTTCCAAGAAAACTTTCATCCTGAAAATCCTTTTTTTTTTTTTTAGATTTTATGTTATTTATTTGACAGAAATCACAAGTAGGCAGAGAGGCAGGCAGCGGGGGGAAAGGGGTGGCGGAGCAGGGAAGCAGTCTCCCCGCCGAGCAGAGAGCCCGATGTGGGGCTCCATCCCAGGACCCTGAAACCAGGACCCGAGCCAAAGGCAGAGGCTTAACTCACTGAGCCACCCAGGTGCCCCCCTGAAAATCTTTTTAATTTATGAGAAAAGAATGATAGGTTTTCCAGAAACTATTCCATGTTTTTTGTGGGGTTTTTTGTTTTTATCTCCGGAATGTTTTCACTTAAATCATCCCTTCATTTCAAGTGAGCCAGTCATTCACCAAGCCATTCACTCACCTCCCACTGCACTGTGCCACAATGGGCTGGGTTACAGGGACCAGCCTGTTGGGACCTCTGCTCTCAGAGTTCATGGTCTGAAAAGAAACGTGTCCATGTGTCCCTCAGAAAGAATGTTGTAATTAAGTTTCACCATAGTAAGTACCTCCCTTTGCCAGGGGCCATGGGCGTGGTAGGGCAGGCCGCACAGAGCCAGCGTTTAAGGAGTTCCTGGCCCAGGGGAAGAGACAGGAAGACACTGAAACAGAGGAATCCTAGTTTTTTTGTGACATTCTTGGACCAGCGCCACAGTAACCT